CCCCCCCCCGCAGGGGCTTCAATCTGCCCCCCCAACACCTCTTCCCTCCCCTGTGCCCCCTCCCATCCACGCATTTACCTGCTCAGCTGGGCACTACTCCACACATGGCCAGACTGGGCTGAGTTCCTGGCCACTCATCTCTCTCTGCATGTGCCCCTCCCCAGTGCAGCTGCCTGGAGCCCATGCCCGGTCTGCCTATGTTTGAGGGGGCTAAGCCTCCTTAGCCCTGGCCTTCTACTGCCTATGCCTGAACCAAACCAGTCAGTTATCATCAATTTAATTTTTAACCACATTTCCTTTTATTCATGGTACAACATACTTAACCAAACACCTTCCAGATAACTAGACTGAGGAAAATACTTAGATTTTTCTTTTATTGCTATTTATGGTGCAGTTATGAACAAAGGTTTGGAAGTTTGACCCAAATTTGGAATGGCTGCATTTTTTCTTGGAAACAAAGACCTTCTCATTAGGTTTCAGATGAATAGGGATATTCATACAAATGATGCACTTTAACTTCCATAAAGAAAAATACCTTCATCTTCATAGTTTCTTTCCTGCAAAGGTAACTGGAAACGCTTCATCTTTGGACTCGCAACATTCCCTAAGAGAAAAGGTCATAGGTTTATCTTTACACATCTCAAGAGAGCTCTTCCTGTACAAGTCTGGAATGGATGACATTTTATATCAAAAACTAGATTGTGGGCGCATCTACATGAGGCGCTGACTGTGCAGTAGCTGAAAAATACTGTGCAATAGCAGTCAGAGCACAGACACTGCTAATACACTATTGCACAGTATTATGAGGCTACTGCACAGTAGCGTTGCCTAAAAGATGTTTGCTAGTGGAACTGTGCAGTCGTTACTGTGCATTTATTTAGTACTTGCTAATACAAGTACTAAATGAATGCATGGTAACGACTGCACAGTTCCACTAGCAAATAACTGCATTTTGGATCCTTTGCCTTTGAGGAAAGACTCCTGGCCAGTTATCAAAGCTTCTGATGGGAGAGCTTCTCCTGCTCCAGCACATAGCACTGCTGCACTGGCAAAAATCTAATACAAGTACTAAATAAATTCAAGGAAACGACTGCACAATAGCTTCTCATGTAGATTCACCCACTTACTTCCAAAACCTCGGTCCTATGGCTGGCAAACAAGCCAGATCCTAACTGCAATTCTCTACTGAAATCCTCATTATAACAACTTCGGTTGTAATGTTTCTTATAGTGTGGTACCCTCAGGGTAGTGTTAAAATAAGGATGAAATGAACCATATTCAAGGCAGTTGTTTTTGGAAGCAGTTAGTGTCATCATAAAATGAACAACAAGCTAGTGATCTGCACTCAGCACCTCAAGTTAGGATAAGGTGACATTTACAGGTCCAATAGTGATGGTCCCTGGATTTAGATGGGTCAATCAATCAGTTTGCTATTTCCTCTGTGATAAAACAGAGATAAAACACTCTGCCTACAAGAACTTCACTGTTTTTCCAAGAGCAGACCTTTAAGCACACAAATGAAGTCTTTCTACCATTGAGACATTAGCATTTACACTTACCTTAGACTATTATTATTTAAAACAGCTTTTGGGACAATTTTGTCCACACTGCTCTCGTAATGAAGGAGAACTTACACAGTGGACAGAAAAGTCTAGAAAGCTCTTAATTTTCCAAAACACCTTTTAAAGATAAAGAGAAACATTCAAGGAATCTGATTCTTGTAGAGCCTCTGTCAAAATCCACATGAAAGCCTGGTGATTTTGCAAAGACCAGAACCAGCCTCACAAGAGGCCTTGGCTTTCTGTAATACCTCCATCTTTCACTTTGAATATGGCAGTAGAACTTCCTCTGCTAGCATCAGTCTCACGACTTCCCCAGTCACACAAAGTTGGGGAAATTCCACAGTACTTTAAATGTATACACAAAGTTTATCACTGCCTCAGGCTGTATTAGTTGTTCAGCAGATTCATTGTAGTTGTCTATGGGAAATGGAAAAATTATGGGTATAGTGCACACATCCTGCTAACCTTGCACTCTTCCCACAAAGTCAACTGTGCAGTGATGCACTCTTCCCACAAAGTCAACTGTGCAGTGATATAACATTGTAAAGGCAGCCAATTACCTATCTTTGTGCAACACCCTAGCTAGAAAGGTGCCATTTTCCCCACCACTATCCAAATAAAAAATTATTAACATGACTGTTCCCACAGAATAAATTATTTACTGAAAGTAATAATAATTACCTCCTTGTTAAAAATCAACCCAAAAAGATGCCTGGAACTCAAGCATACAGGAAAGAACAACTCTTGCTATAGCAACGATAGCAACATAACTGTAAAGAAGCTCATTTATATTATAGACCAGAGATTCCCAAACTTTTTCTTATTGCGCTCCCCCTTCCAGATTTACTAGCTGCCCACATACCCAGAATACATTTTGTACTTTAACCCCTTAAATGCCAATTCTTATAATGACAATTTAATCCATCATTACACAATTTCTTCCGTGTACTCCCCAGAGATGTTTTGCATAACTGGGGTACCCCGTGTACCAGTTTGGGAACCCAGTTTGACTTTCCCAAGATTAAATACACTGATTGAAGACATTTGCTCTACAATGTTATTCTCTGTAGAACTCAAACTGGTTGAGCTACACACATTTGCCAAATAGCTAAAACCATTCTCAGCAACATTTTAAATTCAGGCGATTAAAAAAAAAGTTCTGTAAGGAAACGAACCATTATGCTGAAACTCTGGATCCCTGAGAGTCCCCTGAATACGACGGGATGGACCCCAATAAGATGAAGTATGTTCTTTGACTGACTTCAGTACAGGAGATGTAATGGAACATTCTGCATGTGCTGGAGCAGGAGAAGCTCTCTCATCAGAAGCTTTGGTAGCAGGCCAGGAGTCTTTCCTCAAAGGCAAAGGATCCAAAGTTTTTAATCCAGCAGCAGGGGACATAAGTTGTGAAACAGCTTCCACTTCTCCTTCATGCTGAAATGCCACAGGAAAAAACAAAACAAAACAAAACAAAACAAAAAGAGTCAACGCTCAGTTTATTCATACTTGCAAGTTTTGTTTTTTTTGCATCATACCAAACTCCAGATACAGAGTCATATATTGGGTGCATCTTGCCAGTGCTTCCATGTTGAACGAAAAAAAAAAAAAAAAAAAAAAATCAAACCATTTAAAACTCTGAACATTTGTAAGTAAACTTATGTTAGCAGTGACAATCTAAACATTGTAAAAAAGTCTAGTCATGTTAGACATAATGTTTATTATTAGGGTAAAGCATGTAAACAAGGATTTAAAAAAGAAAACAGAGTTTAAGTTAATGAGACTATACAGATGCTCACAAAAAGTGATCAAATTAAAAAACAGACTCGTACAACTACTCACAGTCTTAATGTTGGTGGGGCCCCATGCTAGGAGTTTTAAAGAGAAGAAAATTTATAGGAAAATGAAATAGAAAATTCTCAAAAGCAGTGAAAGTGGAAAATGGAAAAAAACTGGCATGTTTCCCTACTCAACCCAAGGAGTGAGAGGTTCTGCTTGACTTCAGCAGTCATTTGGGATGATAGCAGTGGGGAGATCAGCTACTCCTGGCATCATTTTAACCTTCAATTCCATATACCTTAGAGTAGAAAAATCAATCCATAGGGAAGCTAATGCAGCACTCACTCCCACAGAGTCCCTCTTAGTTTCTATTGTTTATTTAAAGCATACAATCACCACCATCTTCCTTCATCTCAGAAAACAGTGAAAACGTTAGACTGTATAGTATCAATCCTAAAAAAATAACTGAGTTAAAATATTTTTTCAAAGTGACAGAAAAAGTACATCATCTGTGTCTTTCTAAAACGCCAGTAGATAAATGCTTGTTTTATCTCACCCTGCTGGATTTTCTTTTTGAAGCTTCTCTTATGACTTGCTTGTAAGGAGAAGCATCTGTTTCTAATACCTCTTTCTTTCTCTGCTGTGGGGATGAAGACGTCACTTTGGGTGGAGATACTAAAACTGCCCCTCCTCATGTAACACAGAAAATAAAATAATACTTCGTTAAACAAAAACATATTAAATGAATTTATGATTTTCCCATGAAATGTTGCTTTTACTCTTAAAATATTTTACCAACAGCTGGTGTGGTAAGGTCATGGTGAGTTCTTTGACCACCACCAAGTTCTTTCAGCTTTGGCGTAGGGAGCCTGCCACCTTTCTTTGAGGATACAGAAGACAATTCTGATGCATCTGCTGAAGAATTCAGTAATGAGGCATTTTCTCTGCAAAAGAGAGGAAAAACAGTATACTGGTTAGGACACCAGCCTGGGACACAAGAGATCTGAGGTCAACTCTGCTCTATTACAGGTGCCTCTGCCTAGATCATTTATGGCCACAAAGCCACCATATCCTAGAGGTTAGGGCATTTACCCAGGAGGAGGTAGCCCCTTGTTCCAGTCCCAACTCCCAGGACTGTTTATTTATATTATGCAATCATAAAATACATACAACGGTAAGCTACAGAATCACAGTCCCTCATACAGTCGTTTTCAGATCCAGTGAACTCTGGATTCATTTCCACACAATGGTATGGCTTCAAAAGCAGGAGGAATGGAGAGTGGCTCTACTGCAAAGGCTGGTTATAAGTGTACTACTACTCTCTTGGGAAGCAGGAGAGGTGGGTTTAAGAAATTAAGAGATGGCATACTAGGTCAGACCATAGATCCATTGAGCCCAGTATTCTGCATCTCACAGTGGCACAGAGTGAATGCTAAGGGGAAAAAGTATTTACATTAGGCCTATCCAGACTACCCCTACCCCTCTTCCCTACCAGCTTCTAGTCTTTTCAGACTTTACCCTAACGTGTAGGGAAAAAGTCTGCATGCATAACTATAATGCTTAATACCCACTGGTGGGCATAATCTGCATGAATTTTGTCTAATCCTCTTTTGAACCTGCTTAAATTTTCATCGTCATCCTTGCCAACATCTTGTGGTAATGAGTTCCCTAAGTTAATTAGTTAGCTTTAAACCTGATTTCTAATAATATCTTCATGTGTCCCCTAGTTCTGCTATTGAGAGATCCCTTCCGGTAGAGAAGACAACTGAGCCCACCTCTTCCAGTTCTGAGGTGAGTGCTCTAACCATTAGCTCTTATACAATGCTGGGGCACACCACTGCATTCTTCTCCAGCTGAATTTTAAAAGGTGGAGACTGCCACAGCATTATGTGGGGAAGCTAATCCTGTCAATGTGCATTAGGGAAGCTCTGAGAGGACCCTCAAGGGACTTATGCAAATGAATGCCAAGTTCCTAGAGTCCACTGATGCTTTAGCATGAATTGAGCTCTGAACTGCTCAGCTCTACCACGACAGAGGAAATTCTGGGCGTGTGCAGAGGTGCAGCTCTAAGGCTAGAAATAGATACTGTGCTCCAATTCACTTCTACAGCTGGGAGTGCATCAATGCTGAGGGCTACCATACACTCTCCCAGCTGGGAGCCTCAATCAGTTGGCAAGCACTCCCAGCCATAGATGGACTGGGCACCCGGCTTGCTATTTACTGGTGTAAGGGGAGCCCAGAATCATGATCCCAGTTGCCCTTGCACTGGCAATATGGCATGATCGGGATCTGAATAGCGATCTCAACAATCATGCCTCCTGCCATGCATGTATAGCATGATTGTTGGGATTGTGGTTCAGATCCTGTGGTGCCTTTTAACTGATCATTTGCCAGGGGCCTTAAACTTCTATATGCTCATATGTTCTGCTGGCATGATCCGATTGCAAGCAGCCTACAGTACAACTCTAAAAGTTTTGAATATTAATGTAAAAAAATTATACATTTTAATAAGTTGTGTGATAAAAAATGTTTTTAAAGTTTAGAGTTTCAAGTTTTACATGATAAAAATAGTTTTCTTTATAACAGAATGCCACCAAGGATGCAAGCCTGTGAAACAGCTATGTGTCTAAAATCTCTTCTTCCATTTTGCCATTTGTACAAAGGAAATGTTGGTTAGATTGTATAAGTACTTTGTACGTGTATGGTTAGTTAAGCACTGAAACAGATTTCCAATTGAAGCTGTGGAATTCCATTACTGGAGGCAAATGAAACAAATAATGTCAGGTCTGGCTTGGATATAGTTGATCTTACCTTGGAGCAAAAGAATGACTAGATAAATTCTTTAGGCACCTCTCAACTTTATTGTCTATTACTTAAACTGTACCTCAGTGGAGGGCTGATCTGGTGCTCAGTCCCTGAGACTCCAGGTTTGGGGGTTGGGACTAAGTCCTGACATAGAGAAGCCATTAGCTTCTATCTGAAGGTAAACTGTGTTTCAACAGCTATTAATTAATATTAACTAACAACAGTACATTCTAGTCTCACAACACACAAACACACACATAGTAGAGAGAGGGACAACCAAAATGACTAGGGGTATGGCGCTGTTGCCATATCAGGAATGACAAAAGGCTAGGACTCTTTGGAAAGGAGAAGGCTGAGAGGGGGTCATGAGAGGTCTACAAAAGCATTAAGGATGTGGACCAAGTGAACAGGGAACTGTTGTTCACCAAGTCCCAGAATACCAAAACTAGGGGCACCCACTTTATGCAGCACATCGTTAACTTTTGGAATTTATTGCCACAGGAGATGGTAGAAGCAGACACATCCAGGTTCAAAAAAGGATTAGGTAACTTCATGGAAGATATATCTATGAATAGCTGTTGAACGGAATGGTTGGAGATGCTTCCTTTGGCGTCTCTAAACCTATAGTAGTGGATGCCACAGAGAGTACTGAGTAGGAGACAGATCACACTAGAAATATCCTGTTTAGTGCTCTCCCTCTACAGGGTCTAGTTATGCCACTGTCAGAGAGAGGTCTGACCCAGTATGGTACTTCTTATGTAAGAAATAAGTCCTCTTTCATCCTGCAGTTTAAGAACAGACTTTACTACAGCAAGGTACCACATTAAAATGTATTAGCATACAAAGGCAGAAACAGCAAATCACTCTGTAAACTGTTGAGAAGGGGGAAAGGGAGTGGGGAGAAAATAACATACTCCTCTATTTTGTTTTCCACATTAACCTCCTGATCATTTTCTTCCAATTTCTGAGCCCCTGCTGTCTCCTGCTTTTTTTCTTTTCCTTTCTCCTCCTCTACTGCTGGTGACTGATTCTCCATTTGTTCCTTTTTTTCTTGTTCGCCCCAAACTAGACGTCTCCTAACTGGTACAGTAGAGGCATCCGACATGCCTAACTTCTCTGTGTTTTTCTGTTGGATGTATTTGCCTGATTCAGGCTGCTGAAGTATAGCAGGATTTGGAGATCTCTGCTTTTCAAGAACTCTGTATAAATAGAGAGTAAGCAAGGTTTTATATCACATAATCAATTTTTTTCAGTTTATAATATAGGTATGCATCTCCAAAAACTGTATGCATCCAAGTGGATCTAATTTGCAAGTCACAAAGTCATGCCTCCACAATTGTGCATGGCAGGAGGCACAATTGTGAAATCGTGCATTAGATTCCATTGCACTTTACTGCCAGTGCAGCTCCAAGCCACAGGGATGCCCCATGCACACCCAGCATGGGAAGATTGCAATAGAAAACTCCGGGAGCTGGAGGATCATCGGAGGGGTGATTCCCCCTACCCCATGGCTGCAAAAAACCCCTAGGGCTAGAGCAGGGGTGGGCAAAATGTGGCCCGCGGGCCAGATACAGCCTGCCAGGCCATTCTATCTGACCTGCAGGGCCCCCTAAACAAGTTAGAAAATTAATATTTATCTGCCCCTGGCTGCCTATCATGTGGCCCTCGACGGCTTGCCAAAACTCAGTAAGCAGCCCTCCACCCAAAATAATTCCCACCCCTGGGCTAGAGGATCGTGACAAGAGCGATTTCCCTTACTCTGGGGGTGCAGGAAACCCCGAGCCACAGGATCGCTGCAGAGGCAATCCCTCTCCCAACCCCACAGGTCTGGGAAGCCACCAGGGTAGGGGAGAATTGCCTCTGCAGCAATCCTCCAGCCCGGGGTTTTCCACACCACTGAGCCCTACGGATCATGGTACCGGCAATCCCCAGGGCTGCAGGGTTTTACACTAGGCACAGTACACCCTGCGGTTGGGAGCTGACATGGCTCCCAGCCACAGAGGAAACCCTGCTACATGTGCAAATTATAGCTCGATAGCAACCAGCTATAAAAGGTAGTACACATTTTCGAGGTGTAATTTTATAGCTGGTTGGAGTTTTTCATTGTGTGATAGCTACTTTGCATGTGTAACTGGTCTCCTGGTAGCCAGGTAGTTGTATAATACCTATAATGTTTAGAGGCCCTTATTTGATTTCTGTATGTGAACCAGAAAATATTTCAGTAGAGAAGATTTGCGCCAAAATATTTCATGTATCACCTCATAAATATTAGGGATCTTGAAGTTGGGTTGGATCTCAATTTCATTTAAACATGTTTTTCCAGTTTTTACATCTACCACATAACTTGTTTCTCACACCTAGAATGACCAGCTTACCCAGCAAGATCTAGAGCTTTGATGTTGTTGCTGATGGTTTCTTCTGAACTGGAATTTGAAGACACGTCCCACAGACTGTTATTATCTGACAAAATCTGATTTAGATGATACCGGGAGAAATGGGTTCCATGTACTTGTTGCCTGTAAGATTTTGCTTTCTCTCGAAGTTCCTTCACCTGCACATGGAGTTTTCATAGGATGTATGTTTGTTTGATTTAAATTTAACTCTAAAGTAGCGTGAAGTTAATTGTCAATTACTGTGGAAAGGCATATAACAGACAGCGCGAGCCCACAGCACAACTACTGCAAGCTACAATAAATGCAACAAAAAGGAAGCAAAAATGGCATTGTTTGTATTTAGACACTATGTATTGGGGTTGTCCAGCCAAAGCACAGCTGCTGATTACTTATTCAATAAGCACAAAACAGTTATGAAGCATCTATGAACCAGTTTAGCTCTGGATTATAATTCTCTGGCAGTATTAAAAAACAGCATAATTTTTTCCAGGAATTAAAACAAGAACTTAGATGCAACCAACCTCCATATACCACACGGAGTTTAGGGTGTTTTGAAAACCCTAAAGGAAGAAATACAGAATTATCTTAATAATGCTTCTCTCCAACATTACATGTTAATGTTATATCTGCAAATTCATTGCAATCTAAGCATAAAATGAACAATTTGAAAACCATCAATGTAACTCTATGCTGCCTCCTAGAGATTAGAAAAAAAAACCAGAATCCAAAATTCCACTATTCTTGTATTTAGCTCTACTTTGTACTTCTTGCGGGGATGCATTTACATTTTTTAGTCTCTAGCTGTTTAATCTGCGTTCATCAGCAGGGTATCACTTTTAAAAGCTCAACTTTGGAGTAGTTAAAATGGCATTTTAAATCAAACGACCTATCTGTGCAACTAAAATGCAAACATGCATGTGCAGTTGCAGGTTCAGGACCGTATACTGCAAACTCTGACACAGCAGTATTCTCTTATTATACATATATAAGATCTGATTTTGCAGGTTGGCATATAAGGGCTACTGCCATACAAGTCATAATATCTAAAGCATTCTTTGTAAGGCACTAGGCACTGGAATATCGAGACATGAAATGTATATCACATGTTTTAAGAATAAGATATTATCTTTTTTAACAATGGAAGTGGCACCTTTTATTTTCAGACACTATGGCTAGGGACAGAAGTTACATATAAACTAGTTTAGTTGATCAGAAACTGCTTTAAACCTGTAACAGAACATAAGTTCAGTGCACATAAACCAGTTTCAAAATGGCCAAAACTGGTTTAAGATAAAACTGGCAGAACGGAGTATCAGACTTAACTAATTTGGGTCAAACGGTTTATGGAACTTCTGCCCAAGACCCTTTTCTGGTTCAAATTAAATCAGAGTCCCCCAGTATCCCAGCATGCTTTTCAGGCCTGGGCTGAGCTGTCTGCTCCAGAAAGCAGGGCTGGCCCTACTCTTCTTCTCCCTAGCTGGAGCTCCAGCTGGCTGAGAAGGGGGTGGGGGATTGCAGCCAGGAGATAGCAGTGTCTGTCCTGCCTTCTCCCTGCCCCACTCTCCCTTCACTTGCTGCTCAAGCAAGTATCCCTCCTCTCCCACAGCAGGGATACCAACCCTTACCTGGCCACGCCACCCACATGCTAGCTAATGCCGAAAAGTGTCTGTATATGTATCTCCAAGTTCAATGGGACAAAGGCAGACAGAACAGTGACTAATAATCAGGTCAACTGGTAATGTTCCTCCATTCCTTCCTTGGAAAAAGCTGTTTAAGAAGCCCTTGAACTAATGAGAGAGACTTTATTTTCTTGATGGGCTGATGAGCTTTGTGTTATCAGCTCCCTGCTGGCTTGCTTGGTTCAAAGTCCTCAATCTATCAGTGTTCAAAAGGGGACAGAGAGGTGTGAGAAATGACCTGGTTTGTAATGCATGCAGTGCCTGTCAGTTTGCTGGAGACAGTATGAAGAAGCAGGGAGAGGGAGATTTCAGAGCTCAGTATCACACAAGCAGTCCTTTCTTCCCCCCTGCCCCACCCCGCCTTTTGCCTCAGAGTGCTAGCTGGGGACTGAAGTCTGACATTACTCCCCAATCCTTGAGCAACAAGTATTGGGGGGCGGAGAGGACTACCTCCCCTCACCCTCAAGGCACATCCTGGCTGGGAACTGTGCATGCCTGGGTTGGGGGAGTGCTAAACCCCACCCTAATCATGGCATCTCGCTTGGGTCTAGCCACACCCCTCCCCCCTCAGCTCAGCACTCTGGAAGGGAGGGAGGACTCACTCCAGCACCCCCCAGCTTCTAGTTTGAGACACTGCAGGCATGTGCCTGCATTTCCTGAATCAAAAGTGAATGTCTATCCACTTGCAAATAGGTTCAAACTCTGCAGGTTAAACTAACTTGCAAAGATTGAATCAGTTCAGGCTCAGGCTTTTTGAATATTTGTCCCTAGGCTATACCACCATTTTTTAATCCCTACATTTTCACAAATTGATAAAATGTGATTTCGAGCACTTCCAAACCGTCACTCATCTCTCATCCTTCACCCAACTATGGATTCTTATTCCATTTCGCATTAAATCTTTCCTAAATGTGTAATCCTTTAACAATTAAGCAAGTGGTAACTGCTGTATTACTACATGGATTGTGTTTTTCTGAAAATTCTTAAATAAAGCTAAATCTTTTTATTTGTTAAGAAGAATGAGAAAACAATTTTGCCACTTCTTCTGGCATATTTTAAAGCATATTTGTTTTATTCCTCCTTCTTTCCTATACTAGACTTCTATTACTTGTTAGGCTAAATTCTGCTTTCTGTTACACCCATTAACCCCACTGAAGACAACTGCTTAAAACTGCTAGATATTCACTGGAGATATAATAATGTAACAGAGGAGAATCTGATCTATTTTGAAGCTTAAACTCCCACAGTGTAGAGCCTTTTTGGTCTGTTTTTTATTTTTTTTATTTTGTCATTTTAAGATTACAGAATTTCTTGGTAATACAGTGTGATTTATGGGAGTATTCATTTTACTCAGAAGGATAAAAAGTTAATAATGTCAGCTGGTAGGGTACCACAGAAGAGTAATATGAATTCAGAGCAACAGGACACTGCAGAGGAAGGAAGAGGATACTGAGAATGCTCTTCTCCTAGTGAATTATGAAGACAAAGGACAGCCAACCTCCTTCAGTGACACAGAAAGGAGCATTCTCCCAGTGGGACACAAGCCCTGCAGAGTCCTATCAGGATTATGAATTGCCCACATTAATTTTTAAATGAATAACTGGAAGGAATTTTTTTTTTTTTTTACTGCTGAAAAATAACCCTTAACAGTACATATTGAAGCAACTGTCTGAAGCAACTGCTGTAGCTCAGGCTAGAACTATGACTTCCATTATAACCCTTGTTTTCATATGTTTGAAACTTCAGAAAAAGATTGTCCTTTGGAACTGTAGTTTTCCATGCTTGGTCTCTGATCATAGAGGAAAGGCATTTTGTGTAAATCCTTCAATTATTGAAATATTATAGAATGATGATGTCAATGCTGAAAAACTGAACTTAGTCCTGAAACCCCTTAATCATCAGAAAGACCTATATAAATGAGAAACAGTCTGCCAGCTAAGGTCCTAAGTTTTTACTACTGCTGCCCTCTCTCGTTTTCTCAGAGTATAAACAGACGTAACAATTGTACTGACATCAAATGATATAGATATAAGCTGTTATAAATGCAACTGTGATATCTGTATGATTTTCTTGTTATACATGTAGCAAAACTGTTCAGACTTTAACTCTGTATCATCCAGGCTTACAATTGCAGCAATTGAGCTAACTTGCACCACTACAGGAGTATGCAGACATAACAGTTACATTGTAACCTGATGTCCACTCCCAAGGGGCAGTTCTCCTACCCATTAAAGTGGTTAAAAGTTACATTTGTCCCTACCCCCAGCTATGTTCCTTCCCAGCAAACCAAGCACTGAAGAAAACTTGTCTCCATGAAAATGCTGATAGGAAAGAAGATGTTACAATTTGCCTACAACATACCTTTACAAGGTATGAATTTCAATATCCATTTGCAAATATGTACCAAAAAAAAAGATCACCCACACCTAATTTCTTCTCATTTTTTTAAACAAGCCCTATAAAGTCACAATAACATTAAATAGTTTCATACTAACAATGACTTACATTATTATGTTTTAGATTATATTAAACACATATACTTCAATATAACTTATATTGTTCCAGCCTGCAAGGGGCTGCCAGAAGTGGGACACAAGGGACACCATGTACATGTGCATGCCCACACACATATAGTGGATATAGTTTTCCTAGACTTCAGGAAGGCTTTTGATACTGTCTCTCACCCCATTCTCATTAGGAAGCTGGGGAACTGTGGCATAGACACCCATACAGTCCAATGGGTCACCAACTGGTTAAAGAGTCGCAGCCAGAGAGTGGTAGTGGATGGGTCCTTCTCGACCTGGAAGGACATGGGAAGCGGGGTCCCACAGGGCTCAGTCCTTGGGCCCGCCCTGTTCAATATCTTCATCAGTGATTTGGATGAGGGGGTGCAAAGCACCCTGTTCAAGTTTGCTGATGACACTAAGATGTGGGGGGATGTGGGCACATTAGAGGGGAGCAACAGGCTACAGTTGGACCTAGACAGGTTACAAGGATGGGCGGAGGAGAACAGGATGGGGTTTAACACAGACAAGTGTAAGGTGATGCACCTGGGGAGGAACAATCGGCACCATACATACAGGCTGGGGAACTCCCCTCTTGTCAGCACGGAGGTGGAAAAGGATCTGGGAGTCATTATTGACTCCAAGATGAACATGAGTCGGCAATGTGGGGAGGCGGTTAGGAAGGCCAACTGCACCTTGTCGTGCATCCACAGATGCATCTCGAGCAGGTCCAAGGAGGTGATCCTCCCCCTCTATGCGGCACTGGTCAGGCCGCAGCTGGAGTACTGCGTCCAGTTCTGGGCGCCGCACTTTAAGAGGGATGTGGACAGCATCGAGAGGGTCCAGAGGAGGGCCACTCGTATGATCAAGGGACAGCAGGGTAGGTCCTATGAGGAAAGGTTGCGGGACCTGAACCTGTTCAGCCTTCAAAAGAGAAGGCTGAGGGGGGATCTTGTGGCCTGTTATAAACTGGTTAGGGGGGATCAGCAGGCGCTGGGGGAGTCCCTGTTCCCCCGAGCGCCGCAAGGAGTGACCAGGAACAACGGTCATAAGCTGGCGGAAGGAAGGTTTAAGTTGGACATCAGGAGGCGCTACTTCACGGTCAGGGCAGCTAGGGTCTGGAACCAGCTTCCATGTGAGGTGGTGCAGGCTCCCACCCTGGGGGTTTTTAAGAGGAGGTTGGATGACCACCTTATCGGGGTCATTTGACCCCAGTGCTCTTCCTGCCATGGCAGGGGGTCAGACTAGATGATCTGCTCAGGTCCCTTCCGACCCTAGAAACTATGAAACTATGAAACATGCATGCGGCAGGGAACACAGCCAGACAGATAGCATAGAGAGCAGTTCCCTGCAGGTAAGTCTATGTTGGGGGGAAGATCAAGGCCCCCATGGTGAGGGAGGGAGTGGGGCTGGGACTGGGGGTGCTGCCCAGCAGGGCTGTGCATGGGGTTGGTGTGTGGAGTGGGATCGAGCTCATGCAGGGGGTGCAGGGCATGGGGGGACACGTTCCCCCACAGATCTGTGCATGGGGCTGCCTGCTGCAGGCTCAGAAGTCTCCACCCTGCTCCCAGGGGCCCTGTACTGGCTGCACTACCATGGTAAGATGCCTGCCCAGCAACAGTGGGGTGGCATGGAGTTGTGCCCCCTGCTGCTGGTCAGGCAGGGGGTGCACAGTCAGCATGGGGCTCCCATGGGAAAGGCAGCAGGGCAGGGAGCCCTAAGCTCACAGTGGACAAACTGCATCTGCTTCTGTTTGGCTCTGGTCTGGCCATGCTGCCAGTTGCAACCACAGCACTGGAGGCGGGGAGGGGGAGGTAGCAGAAAGGTGGCCACATGTCCTGTCTTTCCCTTTTGAAAAGATGGTCACCCCAGTAGGGCCTGATCCTGCAGTTTAAACTTATACAATGTTAACAATTAAATCAATTTTGTCTGAGCAACTATCAAGTCCAGAAGAATTTTAAAATTTGCTTTAATAGTAACCTTTAGAAATTAATTTACCTCTGCTTCTAACTTCTGAAGCTTGGAAAGCCTCAGCTTGAACTTACTTTGTAGCCTTTAGCACGGCTAAACATTTTTAATTAAAATGTATTATTAAAATGATTACAAGCCTCTCCAGTGTAATGAGCTCAAAGATAAATTCTCATTTAATTGCAATGGATTATTACACAGATGCTAGGAATTTAAAAAAAAGAAAAGAAAAAAAAGAATAGCACAAATAAAGATTTAGAAAGCAATAGAAGAACATACTTCTAAGAGAGAAATATGACGCTTTGTCTACATATAAGTAGCCTGATGTGTTTACGGTTAGTGAGACCATGTAATAACACTGTTAAAAAAATTAAACTATTTTTAATTAATGGTGTTATAATGTTTTTGAGCAATCCAATCCAAACCCTTTAGTTAGTATGCCCTGAAACACTTCACAATTTTGTTTTAAATAAATAAATGTATCACTGAACATCCTTAATCCCATGCAACCTCCTATTAGTTTCCGCTGGGTGTGTCTTCATGTGCATTAGATCCAGAATAGCAGTTTACTTGACAGTAAACTACTCATGAGTAAATGCTCCTAGGCATGCATCTACATGTATAGGGAAGTGGGAGCAGATTTGCTGCTCATGACAGCAACTTGCTCTCACTTCCTGGAGCACTGCAGTGAGCCCCTGGCACCACCAGGGGGAGCTGTAGGCTTTTCCTGGGTGCTACCTCAGCAGCTGGTAGGGAGCTGGCAGGAACCACCAGGCCAAGAGACAGCCATCTCCTGGCCAGCGCTGGGCACTGCTCCCCGCCCCCTGGGGACTGCCTGCTACCAGGGCAGGTATAATGTCCCCCTGCCCCAGCAGCAGGGATCTCCTATCCCTGGCTTCCTGATCAGGGACCTGCCCCACCCCTGCACTTCTTTCTAAGCCCCACGCCTCAATCACCTGATCAGGGTGCAAGGCTGTGACCTGCCCCTGACTAGGGCAGTTCCCAGCCCCCACTCCACAACTGCAGGTCAGGGGCTGGATTGTGGAGCTGGGTGGGGAACAGGCTCCCCAGTTCCCACCAGCAGGGGAATAAGAATCTCCCAGCACCGGTCCTGTAACCACAGAGCTGGTGCTGGGAGATACAGGTCTCCCAGCCCCCCTCTCCCAATTGTGATGACAAAGCAGGGGCTGAGAGATAAGGATCTCCCAGCCCACACTCCCTGATCATGACATCAGATTGCTCCCTGCCCCTGGGAGCTGCCTGCTGCTGGGGCAGGCTCTACTGCTGGAGTCTGGGTAAGAACTGTGTCCCCCTGTCCTGGCAGCAGAGACCTCCAGGGCCCGCAATCTCCAGCCCCCTAGTGGCCAGCTGACTGGGAGCAGATTTGCTTCAGGTTAAGTGTCTACACAAGCACTACTGCGTAATTAGTAATCACAAGTAAATTTGCTACTTACTTTTCCAGTTAGCAAATTTACTAACAATTAGAAAGGTTTACTGTGCAGTAAGCATGTACATGTGTAGATACACATGCTTACTGCCCAGTAAACTAAGCTAAATTTGCAGTAAAACATTTCATGTAGACACATCCTCTGTAACTTACCACATTGAGGCCTGGGAGGCCTAGTCACAACTGAAAGCACACATATTTGGGCCACCCTTGCGCACCCTGCCCTGATTAAGCTGCCTCCCCATGTGTTCTCAGAGCTCCTGCCCAGCTCAACCCCCGTGTGTTAAGGGCAGGGGCCAAATTCCCAGAGAGACCCAATCATGCAGGGGCCAGCCTAGGCTCACCTAGAGTTTGGTACCAGAACCCTTGCTGAGACCTGGGCACAGAGGGTGGCCAGCCGCACTGGGCTCCCAATTGCCAATAGCCCTGCCCCTCCAAACCCACCGCCCAGCACAATTTACCTGCAAAGGCTGCTTAATCCACTGCCAAAGGAGCAGTGTGTGTGTGCACATCTGAGGTAGGGGGCACCATGTGCATCCACAGATTTCTATACCCCCTTCTCCAGATTTTTTTAAGTCCCCTTTCTATTCATTTGATGATTACCAATGAAAAATATTTCTGTCAGTCTGTGAGGAACAGGTTAAATCAATGTTTATCCATGGTTATTGATAAAAATTGGATTCTGCCAAGCCTGTGTATACTACAGTCACCTCTTCCAAACAGCAGAGTAGCATCCCTGATGGCAGTGGCAGGCCTCCAAGAACTGAAGCAGCAGGACCAGGGAGTGGGACCCAGCAGCTGCACATTCTGACAGATTATTAGTCACCCTCCCAGACTGTCCACCCTGCTCTCCGTCTCCCTCCCTCCTCCACAGAGTTGGGTGAAGAGAAGAGCAAAGCACTATGGGATTCTGGGGGTCTCCTCTCCCTGTACACACGTAACAAGAACTGAAATGCTTCAAAGTAGTACAGCATTGTGGAGTAACAGTTCCAGCTGTATAGACTACAATTATTCCAAGTATTTGGCAGCATGGAAACGTTTGGGAAGGATGCCTCTACAAAGGGAGTAAAACCTAAATTCCCCCAATGGGGGAATCCTGGTAATCTGACAAATTGAGCCTTAAAACACTATTCACATGCTTAACATGTTTATGCAAATACTCACTTGATTGGGAACATTGTGTCTGATACGTGACCACGCTCCATCTTTGTATACATACTGTGCTGGAGACAAAAATTTTGATCTATATTCTGTGTTCATCTTCCTAGGACATCTGGGGGGGGAACAAAACAATTTCACAATCATGTGAACACAAAAGTGCTTTTACATTATACAAGATGCATGAAAACAATTAAGCTGAATTCCCAGACCAAGACATTGGAGGGTGGGGGAAGTGAAGAAACGTATCTTGAGTTAGGCCCATCCCAATTTCAAAGTGTCCAGCATTTATTAAAGACAATTTTGTCTTCCTCTTTTATTGCATGCATAGACCCATAAAAAATAGCTTTGTCTATTGTTAAGAACTGCTGAGCACTTTTACAAGGCAAACTGCTTATTTGGGTGCCTAATATAGACTAAGGCTTCTTTGAAACTGGCAGAAGTTGGTTCCTTATGTTTTACTGTGACAATGTGACTAAATCAGCCCAAAATACAAATCTGTGGTGCATCCACATTAGTCATTCTGTTCAGGAAACACAGTGCAAGGCATCTCCCCAAATAAGTAAATGCATGTTACATGTTTGAACGTGATCACAATTTTGGTTTGCCTAATGATTACTTTGCGATCTTCTGTCCTGCACAAATAGCTGCACTCCTGAGATCATGTGAGGAATGGCTTCTGTTCCCAGTGTGGCAGATGCCATGGCAGAGGATCCTTTCTTCTCAAACCACTGCTAAATTAATTCTGTGCCTACAGGCTGAGACACGAAGTCCAAGAAGTTAAGGAGTTTGTTTCCATTATATTCACTGATTTTTTTCCCCCACTACTAATGAAATTAATTTTGTTGCTTTTAAACTAAACAAACTATTGTCTTCCCAGATCCAAAAGATAAGAATGGTCCAGGCCTAGACAAACAAAACCAAGGCTTCACTCTCATCAACAACCTAATGCTGCAAAATGTCCAGAAAGATGCATGGATGAAACAGAACCGTTAAAAAGCTCAAGGATTTACTAGAGCAGTGTATTTTAACATGTGGTCCGTGCACCCCTGGAGGTCTGCGGACTATGGCCACGTGTAGATGAAACAAGGGGCGTGTGTGCACAACACATTAAAGCGGGCTAAATGCTTTTGCACTGCTTTAATGGTGTCAGTGTTCGCACACCTCAGCTGTGTATTGTGCATTAATTCCAGCCACTGTAGTAAATTCAGCGGCATAATGCACCTTAAATGACTTGGGGCGCAGCAAACAAAACTGCAAGGAGTTTTAGTTTGCTGCGCCTACAGCTGTGGAGTGAGGCATTGGGTTCTGTGAAGCTCCACAGCTCTGCAGAAAGCCCTGCAGGCAGCCTGGCAGAAACCAAGGAAAGCAGGCTCCGCCCAAGAAAAGTGGCGAGCCTAATCTTCCTCCCCCCACCTCCACCAGAGCCTACCTAAACTACGCGGGGGCCTGGTGCTTCCCTCCATACCTGTGGTGCCACGGTGGGGAGGGGGAGGGAGAGACGAGGCAGGCTGCTGCTGCAGAGGGAAGTACTAGCCCCGCCCCTGCAGCCCAGGGACCTCTCTGCCCGCCAGCAGCTCACCCTCCCCACCCCACCGGAGAGGCAGGCAAGTCAGCAAGGTGTGTACACAACACGGGGGTTTAAAATTGGCCTTAAATTGAAGTGGTGTTTTTTAAAACCTGCCACTTCAATTTAGGGACCCCATTTCATCTACACACACTGTATGTCTCAGGGGTATGCAGAGGATGACTGTGATCAAAAGTACATTAATATCCACACCTACATTCAACATTTCCAAAGGAATCTGCATCTCCATTCAAAATGTTTTAGGGGTACGCAAATGAAAAAAGGTTGAAACCCACTGTACCAGTATATTAAACAGATGTGGATTAGCATTCTGAATTTTTGCTTGATGTAATTTTTGGGGGTTTTCTTCTCCTTTAAATCTGACACGTGAGCTAATGCAATGCCCGGAAGTGCCATGGCAACCCTTACAAAGATTATTGGAGGGCATAAATTGTTTGGATACCTTTAGCACAGGGGCAGGCAATTATTTCGGGTGGAGGGCTGTTTACTGAGTTTTGGCAAGGCACCGAGGGCCACATGACAGGCAGATAAATATTAATTTTCTAAATTTTGGGGGGGCCCCACAGGCCAGATAGAATGGCCTGGCGAGCCGCATCTGGCCTGAGGGCTGCATTTTGCCCAGCCCTGCTTTAGCAGCATCTGACTGAGGTTCCCCACCCATATTTTTAGGTGACTTTCCATAGGATAGAAAAATGTTCATATTAAGCTGGTGTTTCACTTTTATTTTTTTAATTTCTTCTGAAGTTATTCTGTAAAACAGAATGTCCTAGAGAGTGGGCAAACACCACCTGGATTGATTTGGGACCTGTATGAGGCCAGTAAGTAAGAAATTGGACAGGTAATAGTGGTAAGAGCAATAATTTAAAAGGCGGGCAGTAACACTTGTAGATTGCACCAGGAGAATGAAAAGAACCAGCACAGCTGCAAAGCTTCCATTTCCAGCATTGCAGTGGTGCAAAAGTATGCTGATGAAAGATGCTACTAGTTCTACGCTTACCCACATAAATACAATCACAAGTCTGGTTTGGACACCTTGGGCTACTGCACTAGCGATTACTCTTTCAAAATGCTGAAGGCAGCCCACCTACCCCTTGATATATTAGATGGCTGAATACCTAAATACTAAATTAGATTTCCCTACATTATACATACCTAAGACTTGTATAGAAAGAGAAGGGTTTTTGAGTAACGTGTTGTTTATTTTTTTGTTTAGGTTGTTTCTGTTCTGTTTCTGATTTTCCTTGTTTTGATGACTGTTCCGTTGACTTTAGAAACATTTCTTTCCTTGTATTCTGAGGCAAAGAATTTTAAAAATTACCATATTAGCTAACAAACTCTAAACTCTGCAGACTCAAACTCCATTTGGCAGTGGCCGTTACTTAACATAGTACAATACTTAACTTTCAAATCATACACACATTTAATGCAACAATATAATGTTAAACTTGTTCTTTTAAAAAAAAAATCTCAGTTTGAATGATAATAAAATTAAGGTTCGATTGTAATATTAACTCAGCCACGCAATATCCCATACACTTTATGAAATAAATTTAACATGAAATACAGGAAAAAATCGTATGAAGCCTGTATAAGTAGCTACATTTTACAAATCTTAGCACATGCATGTCCCAATATTTTTAAAGCATTATAAAGCCTTAACATTGCACGAAAGTAAGGGAAAAGGTTGGACTTGTTTTATTATTTTTGATGTGGTCCAAAAAGAGACACCAGGAGGACAATTTAGAAGAGTGGCCTTGTACCCTTGCTAATTTGCAATATACAAAAGGTTGATTTCCCCCCCTCTTTAAAGATTTTTTTCCTGCTTATTTCTCTTTTTCCTCTCCAAAATCTCAGATACATCAGTTCTAGTCACATTTGGATTTGCTGGATGCTTTCTGATAAGTATTGTGAGATAAGGCATAACAGATGAGTAACTGCTGTCTGTGCTTAACAGAATATTTTAATGTTTGAACTGTACACTGGAATCTGTGTAGACTACAATGTGTACCATCTTAGAACTGCATGCATCTATCAACTTAAAAGCAAGTAAAAAGAACTGAATTATCACCCTGCAGCCATTTTTACTTGAAGTATAATTGTAATATGAAAACTAATGGTTTCTTTACACATTAGATTTGTTCTTCTACAGATTTAAATATACATAGCTACTGACTTCTGTTTTTCATTTCTGTTACTCCTAGAGACCAATAAAGCCAACAGAAAATACAATGAACTCTACTTCTTGTGTATAACAGGACTGTACTGGTGCTAATAATCCCACAAACTAGTAAGCAGAAGCCTTATCATTCATTATAATAAAAAGGAAAGAAGAGTTTGAAACTCAGGTCATTTATACATGTGCTCTGGGAAAGGCAGGGGAGGAGGGGTGCTTTAATTAGAGTGGCTCTGAGAAAGCGCCCAGAGTGTCACATGTATCAACATCCCCACATTGAAAAGTGATGGCAGAGATGCTTTAACCATTTTTTACTGCAGGAACGCTGATACACATAACATTAGAGGCTGCTGCAGCACAGTAATTACCACACTCCAGGAGACTCAATTAATCAAATCTGCTCTGATGCGTTTTAATTAAAGAGCATTGGAACAGCTTCAGTGTATATGTATAGGCATCCTCAGAGTCAAAACTAAGTATACAGGCTGCCAGCTAGATGGTTGGTAGGAAATGGTCCAGCCTTTTTACTTGCAGACTGAATGCCTGTGACACAGAAAAAACACTGAAACATACATGGAACCTCACAATATTATTTTTAGAGCTGCTTTTTAGAATAGGCCTTTTCCCAATGGCTTGGGCTGCTGCATACAAGATATAAAAACCTAACAGACCAAAAAGATAGAAACAACAATCCAAAAATATAAATAGCATATTAATACCTTTCCATCAGGTGAGAGATTTATTTGTTCACATATAGGCAATTCTTCTTCTTCCAAATCATTTCTCACTTTTTGTTCCTTAGGTAGAACAGAAACTTTGAAACTTCTCTCATACTCAGTTTCAGGAGTAACTGCAGGAGACTTAAATGTGGGGATGGATTTGCTTGCATTATGAATAACCTTTAGATGGAGGGAGCAAGGAAAGTACACAAGGAAATATGTTAATCAGCTGATCTTAAGGCTACATTTTCAAAACCAATCACTTACGAGATTCATGCATGCATGCAGATGAACAAAGAGGACATGAACATTCATTTTCTAAAATTAACCAGTAGACTTATAAGCAACACAAGAAAGATGCATTTGATTCTGGACCTAAATACTGTTCTTTTCTGAGGACTTCATAAGCAGAGCAGATTTTCTTTGGTTAAGACAGTGGCTGGTTGATAAATCTGTATAATTTACTAAACTATTTTTTCCTCAACATCACAGATTTTTTAAACCATTTATCATGACCCCTCCAGTACAGCCATTAGAGTTGTTTCTGCAAACAAGTACCAAATGATTGTTTCATGGTTTAAAAGGTGACACGTTATATAGTAATTTGATCCATTCCCTGTTCTGCAGTTAATGTCATGCTCTAATCTGAGATACAGGATTTGCTTAATTATTACAAAAGGTCTGACCCTCATCTCCTCACAGACTATTGAGATTTCATGATCATGCCATATGCTGCAGAGATAAAAGTTTCCTCAGCTTTGCCATGTGGGCTTCAGTTAGACTTACCTCAATGTCAAGGTAAGGTATTCTCAAATATACCTGCTCAAGGAACAGGTATTTCCATTAGTTTAACATTTAGATGCATTTTTCATAAGATTAAGATCTTAAGGATGTAGCCCAGAGCAATCAAGTAAAAAAGTTTGTTAATAACTAGAATTGTATGATAAAATGTTATTTTAAACTCTTGCAAATACTTGCATTTGTTTTAATTTACTACACAAAATAGTTCAATTGATTTAAGCATTTTGCATGATCTTTATTCAATACGACTATGGTATAAACCATGCAGCAAAGTGAAAAAAAATAAAGAACAACTCTTATTGATAGACTTCCTGATCCTCCTGGAATACCAGTCTTCATAATCAAGAGTTAATAGAGTATTATACATGTTATTAATTTTGATAAAAATGGAGCTCCCTGTGAAGTCTTTCATAATTTCCAGGACATGACTATCACACATCTACCCGTTCCTGAAATGATCCATCAGATTCTACACAAGCAAAATTCCTACCGAGTTACAAGACATTGCAGTGGAAATTTTGCTTCCACAAGGGATTGCCAGGAAATGGATACTCAGTGTTAACAAATATACCATCTTTATATGAATAGATGGCAACACTTGATATTAGTCCAAAGCCCAAGGCACATAATTTACCATATAGTTCACTGGGCTGGGCCCCACCAAAGCCAACAGCATGCCCCACATCTCAGCACTGCTCAGTGTATGTGTGTGTACTCCAGACACCTTCCAATAAAGGATCCAAATGCTAATTAACCCTCCTTCATGACTGGAACCAAGTCTTCTTGTCATGAGTCCTGGAATGCTTCAAAAATGTATATGCAGATGAGAAGCAGGGCAACCTGGTCCAGCTTCACCTCATAGAGGGTGGGCCCACACTAATCATATGTGCCAGACAACAGAGGGATTCTGGGTGAACTGTTCGGGGCCCCATTTCATGATGTTCACTAAACATTTAAGGCTGGTAAAGAAACAGGAATCATTGAAAATGGAAAAGAAAGGCACAGTTCAGGTGTGGAAATGAAGAAGAAAATAATCAGCCATGAGAGGGACTACACTTAAATGGGCACTACTATATGTCTCAGTCAGATGGCCTGCACTAACCTATCCTTGTGGTAGGTTCCCATCAGCAAGTCTGCCCATTATGGGCCACATGTTTTATAGTCATGCTCAATGCTGGATGCATTTAATCAACTAGAATTGGGTTTCACTGTTGAGCACATGCTGGTTTTGGCAGCAGTTTAATGACAGACAACGTATTTAGTGAGATTTCCTTGTATGCAATTATAAGACAAGGGGCTTTTTCCCCCATGCCAACTGGGAGGAAGCTTCATCTTGTGTTCAAGTAAATATGATACATTGTTTTACAATGGAGGGAAGACAATAGGGCATGAATTGGGAACAAGCTTTATGATGAGCAGTGCTGCCTTTGAAGCATCAGTAAACAAGTCTACTTTCTAAGGATGAAAGAGAACAAAATATCAAACTTGTTTATATGCATGATGCCACTGGAGAAATAAAAGATTAACAAGAACCAGAAGAGCACAAGTCTAAGGGGAGTCAATTGTGACTGAGACTACTCTTGTAAGAACAGCGATAAGAGAAGGTGTCTCTACAACTCACTCATGGTGGAAGCCAATGCCATACTGAAACACTCACTCTATGTATGCCAGCTCCTGAACTGGAAGCAGTGCAGCTACCTTAGGATAGCTGCAGCTCTCTAAGAACAGGAGAACTACTAAAAGAAGAGTGTTTCACAAGGGTACTGTATAAAGAAACAACTATTCACAGAGTCATAGATTGTTAGGGGCTGGAAGGAATCTTGCAGATCGTCAGGTCCAGCCCCCCCACCCCGCTCTAGGCAGGAGGACAACTGGGGTTAGGTGACCCCAGTGAGGTGACTGTCTAGTCTACTTTTGAAAACCTCCAGGGTAGGTGAATGCACCACCTCTAGAGTTCCACAGTCTGGACACCCTGACTGTGAAGAAGTTTTTCCTGGCATTAAGTTTGAAGCAGTGTTCCAGGAGTTTGTATCCATGGGTCCTGGTCTTCCCCAGGGGTGTCCTAGTGAATGGTTGTTCACCAAGCTCCGGATGCACTCCTCCGATATAGCAGTAAACTGCTATCAAGTTCCCTCTCAACTCTCTCTTCTTTAGAGTAGAGGCCCAAGTCCCTCAGCCTTTCCTTGTATGGCTTGCCTTGCAAGTCCCTGATCATACGGGTGGCTCTCTTCTGGACCCTCTCAAGTTTTTCCACATCCTTATTGAAGTGCGGTGCCCAGAACTGGACACAGTACTCCAACTGCAGACTCACCAGTGCTGAGTACAGTGGGAGTATCACTTAGTTTTATGTGAGATGCATCGTGCCAACGTGTTGGCCAACGTGTTGTTTGCCCTGCTGACTGCTGCCTCGCACAGATGGCTCATATTCATGCAATGGTCAATCATTACCCTTAGGTCCCTTTCGTCCATGGTGCAAGTCAAGCTGTCACCACCTAGCCTGTATGTATGTTGAGGGTTGTTTGTCCCCAGATGGAGCACCTTACACTTGGAAGTGTTAAAATTCATCCAGTTCAAGTCTGCCCAACTCTTTAGCCTGTCCAGGTTGACCTGTATCTGCAATCTATCTTCTGACATGACCATACTGCCCCATAACTTGGGGTCGCCCGCAAACTTGGACAATGAGCTTTTCACTCCCCCATTCATATCACTGATAAAAATGTTGAAAAGCACTGGTCCAAGCACAGACCCCTGAGGGACACCACTGCCTACTTCTCACCAGGATGAC